TGGTGGGTTATAATAAATATTTATTAACAAATTCATATATTTGATATTATTAAAATATTAATTAACACCTGATTATGAAAAGAAAAGTTTAAGATCTGATATTTGAAAAGTATAGTTAAAATGTAGAGATTTGCTTAATTTTCTCTTAATTTATTCACATAAGATTCTAAATTGTCAACTTGATACCTTATAATATAAATTATCTCATCCTCCCGCTTTCTCAAGTAAACGAAAAATTTATAATAAAATATATAACAAAACATGGTTGATGGTTCGATCTTTTTAGGCTCGAGCAGAGCCCAAATTTGGCTCATCCTAAAAAATGGGGCTTGGCCCGGACTTTGGCACGAGCCTTTTGTCTAGCCAAGTCGGCTCACAGACTTTTTGATTTTATTTTTTTGTACTTGAATATACAAAAAATTGATCGTTAATCTACAAACTCCAAAATTAATTTCAAAAATACAAAAGCAAGCATAAAAGCTGGCCGCACGAGCCCACATGCGGGCCAACTTGTATTTGAACTAATGCGACTCGTGGACTGGCCCCATACTCGGACCAAATCTCATTTTTTAGGGTTAATGGAGCCTTAACTCGTACAAACAAGCTCCAATCGGCTAGGCTTGAGCCTTTTCGATTTTTATTTTATTTTAATTTTTTGTACTCGAATATACAAAAAACTGTTCATTAATTTACAAACTACAAAAGCAAGAATAAAAACTGGCCACACGAGCCCACATATAGGCCAACCCGTATTTGAACTTGATTAATAGCTCTATTGCTCTAGTTTGGGGTCATCAGGGCAGTAGAGGATCGTTCTTAGCTTGTGAACTGGCCCCAACTCGAACTAGATCTCAATTTTGAGGCTTGGCGAAGACTTTACTTGTACAAATGAGCTCCGATCAAGTTGGAAAAAAAAAAGGTTCTGTGTTATAAACTTTGGATATCCAACAACATCTGTTAAAAAATAATCGCAAAAATCTAAACATTTATCTATCCACCCATGAGGTAGATCAGCAGCTATTCCTCTTGCACAAAAATAATTATGCATCATTCGCATGCCGGTGACAGCTTGAAATTTATCCTATATCAATTCTCGTTCTCCAAAAATATAGAAGAAAAGAGTCTATAGCCCAAACCCAAATTAGAGTCATAGAGCTGTTAGTCACGCTCTAGTCAAACGAAGCCTATAAAACAGATCGCAAATACATAATTGATTCTGTTCTACTCAAAATTTCTTCTTCTGCATTCTTCAAGAAATCTTCCCAATTCTTGAAAATTCCTTCCCTTCGTTGCAATGTCTTGCTCTATTATCGCTTTTTTCATCTGTATTCAACCTCAAATTTTCTTCATAATTCTTCAATCAAGAAATCGATTTCACTATTCTACATCCGTCACTTGATAACTCATAATTATCACTATTTTAAACCAAAGCTGCGGTCTTCTCTATTATCCAGTCTAAACTCTTGCAAAAGCCTTCAAACTCTGAAGAAAATCCATGCTTTTATAATAGTCTCAAATGGGCATGAGTTACCTCTTTCAATAGTTTCAAAGTTCATATCTTTATATGTTGAATTGAACGATGTTGATAGCTCTGTTTCTTTGCTTAAGTGTTGGAATGAACCCAATGCTTTTGTTTGGAATTCAAGCATCAAAGCACATGTTAATGCGGGTTTTGTTGGATCGGCATTTTGTGTTTATAAGTTAATGAGAGAAAAGGGTGTTCCACATGATAGTTATACACTTCCAATATTGAATGGATCGGTTGTGTTGCTTGAAAGTGGCAAAAGATTTGCAGATATGATTCACTCTGTGGCAGTTCAAATGGGTTTTGAATCTGATGTTTACTTTTGCAATACTATGATTGAGGCTTATGTAAAAAGTGGGTGTTTTGAGAATGCTCTGAAGATGTTTGGTGAAATGCCTCACAAGGATTTGGTGTCTTGGACGTCGATGATTTCGGGTTATATTGGTGAAAGGAATGTTGGTTGTGCTTCTGGATTGTTTCGTGAAATGCGGAAAGAGGTGGAGCCTAATGCAGTGACAATTTTAGTGATGTTACAAATATGCTCAAGTGTTTTTGAAGGGAGACAGATTCAAGCTTATGCGTTCAAAAGTGGTTTCTTGGTTGATCAGTCGGTGAAAAATTCGATCTTGAAAATCTATGCTGACGTTGGTGATGCTGATGATGCGGAAACTCTTTTTGATGAAATTGATAAACGAGATGTTGTTTCTTGGAATATAATGATGTCTTTGTATTCTTCAGAAGGAAATACTTTGAATATGACGAATTGTTTCCGTAAAATTTGGAACGAGTCGAAACCAAGCATTGAGACATTAACTTTATTTGTTTCGGGGTTGGCGGAGGCTGGGAACCTTAGTCAAGTTTGGCAAATACATTGCCTTTCAATAAAGAGCGGACTCTGCGATGATATTCTACGGACAAGTTTGTTGGATTTTTATGCAAAGTGTGCCGATTTGGAGGCATCTGCTCAGTTATTCACAGAAGTCTTGTATAGAAACTGTATTACTTGGGGTGCTATGATGTCGGGGTTCATTGAAAACGGGTACTTTAGAGAGGCGATTGAATTGTTTTGGCAAATGTTAGCTGCAGGTGTTCAACCCATGGCTGAAAACATGAGAAACCTTCTTCTTGTATACACTCACATGGGTGCTCTACAATTCGGTAAAAGCATCCATGGATACCTTGTAAGAAACTCATTTTTCAGTTCTAATGAAGAAAATAGATCCTTGGAGACTTCGACTCTTAATATGTACATTAGATGTGGAAGCATTTGTGCTGCAAGAACTTGTTTCGATAGAATTCTTGTAAGAGATCGTGTAACGTGGGCATCAATGATTGAGGGTTGTGCGATACATGGAAAGGGTTTCGAAGCATTGGAACTTTTCCATCAGATGGTGGAGGACGGAATCAAGCCAAATTCGGTTACCTTTATAAGCTTATTATCTGCTTGTAGACACTCGGGCCTTCTGCACGAAGGCTGTGAACTCTTCTGTTCTATGAAGTCAAGGTTTGGCATTGATCCCGAATTAGATCACTACACTTGCATTGTCGACTTATTGGGTCGATCTGACAAGACGAAGGAAGCTTTGGCTATAATCTTGAAATTCGTGATTTTCCCGGACAGTAGAATCTGGGGCGCACTTCTTGCCGCCTCAAGAGTTAACGAGAACCGGAAACTCGGGGAATATGCAGCCGAAAGGCTTTTTCAGTTGGAACCCGATAATGTTGGGTATCACACAGTCTTTAGTAACGTGCAAGCTAGTGCTGAAAAGTGGGACGTAGTGGAAGAAGTTAGAAGTTCTATGAAAAACAGAAATTTGACGAAACATCCCGGGTGGAGTTGCATAGAAGCAAAAGGTACATTTCATGGCTTTGTCTCGGGAGATAGATCACATCGTCAAACTGATGAAATATATGACATGATGGAATGTTTAGGTAGGAATACTCTAGAAACAGGAAATTTGTCATTCAACTGGTTCCCTATAATAGATCTCTCTCTTCTGTGATGGGGATTACATGGAATGCTTAGGTAGGATTACTCGAGACGTAGAAAATGTGTCGTGCAACTGATTTTATCTACAATGACCAATGTAACAGTTTGTGTTATGAGGTTTGCACTTACTCGTCTATTTTGTTATATTGGAAGTTGTATTCACAACTATTTCTTGACTGGGAAGTTTAATTTCTCTAGCAGATCTATGTATCCTTGTGGTCCTTGGGTGTACATAGAGATGGATTCTTCCATTCTTCAAGGGCCATCCTGATCTACATTGCAAATACTTACTACGTTTGGATAGCTAAATAGCATTGCGAGAAGAAAAGTTCATTTCTAGCTTAGTTGATGAGCGTAGAAGCCATGCCTACGGCAGCGGAAGCAGTGTGTTTCCAATAGACAGAATACACAAAACTACACGTATAAGCGTAAGAAGAGTAGTTGAATACCAAATAGGCGCAAGAGTATGGATTTAAGCTACAAATTCCCAGCACTTTATATACATTACACATTATTTTTGTGAGAAATGGCAGTAAAAGATCATCCTGCCTACTATTACAGTGAACATAAAAGATGAAATTACATTAAGCTTGTGTCCGCTCATAATGTCAAGGATTTTCGCATGGTAAAACACAATTAATACTCTTTACGATTAGCCACGGCTATGACATGTACTCTCTGGACGCCCATCCCGACTCATACCTTCCAAATGTGTAGGCCATGGAAGGAATTTGTGTCATATGGAGAGGATCTGGTTCAATTCCGTAATCTGTTAGTGGCCTATGTTCCAGAATATCATCATGCTGTTGAACGAACTCAGGAATCTCGACCTCTCCCTTCTTTATATCTTGCCAGAGGTATTGAAGGCGGCTAACGTACTTGATTTTCCAGTATAAGCTATATAACAAACAAAATAAAGGAACAATAAGTACGTCGTCACCAGCATGGCATACTGAACTTGATGCTCATGTCAGCCGTCAGTGTGTACATGACTGTAGTTGTTAAGATTTCTAGTTGAGATATAGATGAACTCACCCTCCACTTAGGAGAAATCTGCCAAGGGTAGCAAAGACAAGCCTTGACCGAAGCCCAGGATGAATGAAGTACACGGCCTGAAGCCTGTCTTTGTACTCATTTGGTAGCTCCTCATATATCCATCTCAATATGGTAAGGCCAGGCGAATTGTCCTCTTTCTGTACAGTACTATGCATGTATACAACACAAAATGGCCCTTCTGGCATCTCCGTCAAAATTTTGTGCGAGACATATTTTTTCAGTCGTTCTCCACTGATTACAGCAGCTGGTTATATAAAAGAGCATCAATACATAGTTAAAATAGTTAAGTTAATCAAAAATGAAAAGGAAAATGCACAAGTCAGATTACAGACCACGTTGTCCATCAAAAAATAATCAATCGTTACAATATTATTACATTAAACTAGCTAGTATCATTTTTTCACAAAACACGAGTGCAAACACACAAAAATCAACACGAAAAAAGACATTGCCCACTGGTAGCCCCATAACATTTAGCCAATAGAATAGTCAATAAAGAGTCTCAATGTTTCAAATAGCATTCCATCAGTGGGTGAGAGTCCTCAATTATTTTTGTTTCATTAGCTCTTGATGTTCAAACATAATGCTCAGTCAAAATCAAGAAGGCAATCAAATAAAATAGGGCTGGACATGGAACCGAACCGGACCAAACCAAAATTTTCAGGTATTTAATAAATGGAAACATCGGGTCCAAATATAATTATGGAACCGTTCGAGTTCGGTTCCGTACCATAATTAAATTTTTTAACATTTATAGCAATACAACATAAATACAACTAATGACATGTTCATTCGTAACTTTTACAAATTAACGTAGTCCAATTTAAAAACATATAAATAACAAGTTATCCAATAAAATTAATTCAATGTATACAAATATCAAAAAGTAACCATCTAGTAGGAACATCTAAAATATCAAGTTTTTTGCATACAATCTTTTTCCTTTCTATACAACATTTAAATTTCATAAACCGGGAAGGAATTGATCGAAAATATCGAATGAAAGTATGAAATTGAAAATGGAAGGGTATAAACCTAAAGAGGCATTGATCTGGGGCTAACAATGAAATTAATAATTGACCAAAAAATTAAAACAAAAAATTGAATTTAGAAATTGGGTCGGGCTGCGCTCGTTAGGCATGGACTTGGCTTGAGAGTTGAAGGATTAATCACTAAATTAGTTAATTTGCTAATTTATTTAGAAAAAAATTAAAAAAATTAATTAATTCAATATAAAAAATTTTAAAAAATATTTAAATTCAGTTCTTATTCGGTTATTTGGTTCTGGGTCTAAAATCGAGAACCAAACCGAACCCGTCGGTTCTCGATTCAGATACTTGTTCGGGTATTTAACTTATGAAGAACCGCTCGATTCGGTTCAATTCGAGAGTTTTGTCCAGCCCTAGTCCAATGAACTCTTAGTTAGAAAGAATTAAGTGTTCGTACAAGTTCCCAAAATTGTATAGATCGAATCATACTAATCTATTGTTCAAAAGCAATTTCCGACTCTGATGTATAACATTTTTCATGTTCTCGTGAGAAATGAGAAGGAAAATTTTACACAATACTAAGGGTGGACAAAATGACCAAACAAATATAAAAAATTTAAAAAATTATTTATATTCGGTTCTTGGTCTAGAACCGAGAATCGAACCAAACCCATCGGTTCTCGATTCAGATACCCGTTCAGGTATTTAACTTATGAAAAATCGCTCGGTTCAGGTTCGATCCGGTCCGGTCCGGTCCGAGAGTTTTGTCCTGCCCTAAAATAAAGTGAACATCTTCAAAGGAAAACATTCAAGTTCCAAACTAATTTTTTCACCATCATGGTGAGCAAATGCAATAATAGAAAAGGTAAATATAGTAATCACTCCACCCAAATTTTAGCACAGCATACTGCTTCCAAAGAGAAGAAAAAATTTGATGCAGTAAACTGTGAAAAGAAAACAGATAAGCTCTCAAAAGCTAAACCGGAGCACACACCTGAGATTTATAGATGACCTATCAAGAGAAGACTTCGAAGTCATAATTATTTATATTATACTGAGAGAATAATAAGACTCTACACGAATCAGAATCATGTAATACAAATACCTAATCCCTATACTTTTGGATGCCTTTACAGCTGCATAGGCAGACAACTTATACATGTACCACTCGTACGTGGTACAATGGCAACCGAGTGATTGATCAAATTCAGGATTCTTGCACAGAGGCGATAATGCTTTCGAAATTCATTGATCACTCGTTTTTTCCTGAAGAAATTCCACACAACAATCGAATAATTCCTACAGCTAAAGGTCAATGCATGACATAAAGATCAAACTTTTAGTACAACATCCACCAGCACGAACCCACACAAGAACAAACATTTTTTTATCCAGGAAGTACCTCTGTTCTAAAATCCAAAGTAGCAATCTCTCAATATAGTCTGTGTTTACGTGAGCACATACAAGTATTTAACTGAAAGGCAGCACAAGACTAGCGTTTTATAGGGTGATTGAGGGTAAGGAAAACATCAAGATTTCAAAATACTGAATTTGGATAAGTAAAAGGGAAGTGGAGAATTATGTAAATGTTTCCTTTCCTTCATCTCTTCATAAACTTACTGTTACCTCACAAAAACTCACAGTGCAAGACTGAACTAAGTATATCTAAATAACACAAAGCAGAAAAATTTAGGAAAAAACATAAAAACAGTATGTTTGGTAAACCAGACTGGAACAGATTAGGATTAGCTTATAGCATGTTTGGCTAAGCATTTAAGCATCTTTTTTGGCAGTGCGTGCCGAAATAAGCCAAGAAGCAGCACAAAAGTAAAAAGCTTGGCCAAACGTGCTCTGAATCTAATCCAGTTTTGGTGTTAATTCGAATATCTCCATCCTGCCACCTAATAATAAAGATGTACCACAGGCACGCTTGTGTAAATTAAGCCACACACAAACATACATCAACTACTTATTACCGGGGAAATATTTTCCGACGATTCGGAAGATTCGATTGCCAGACTTATCAGAGCCACGTTCGAGGCGGAAGAACTGGAGGGCTTCGAGATCGGAGAAATCATGGTCATCGGAGGAGGGTAGAGAAGAGGGGCAGTCGTGCCAGTTGTCGTCTTCAGCTGATTCTTGTTGTTGTACGTTCGATGGGTACAAAAATGGCCGGGCGTCGACGCCTAGATCCGACGCCAACACCACCACCGAGAAATCGTCCGACGATGAACTCGCCATTAGATCCTCTTCCTCTCTCTCTCTCTCAGGATAACTGGACTAGGGTCTACGGCACTGTTATTCGATCATAGGATAAATTACAATCATTTAAGTCAAAATTAAATATTAATTTAAAATTATTATCTACAATATCAATGGTTCCTTTTTATTATAATTTTTTTCCAAAACATGTATGTGATTTTCACCCGACACTTTAGAAGATCAAAAGTCCATTTCGTCTTGCCTTGATTTGGTACGAGGCAATTTAGACCCCTGTTTGTCCCTCGTTACTTTTTATTAAATTATAATTTTTTTTTCTTCTCTTATCGATCACACATTCTTCCATAATAGAATATTACAAGTAAACGTAAAAAAAAATTCATTATTTTCTAACCACACATTCTTCAAAAAATTATTACTCTTATTACAATGTGGAATAATGGGGGTCAAACGAGCGCAAAGAGGCTTTCGAGTCCATCATATCCCATCAACTCACAGTGTTGGTTCGACAAATCTTTATTTTCATTTTTAGAAAAATATAAAACAAAATTTTTTTAAAGTCTGTTTTGTATTGTACTGCACAAGAAAGTCTTTACTATTGCAAATGTCCTTTTTTTTGTCGTTACGATTAGAAATAGGCTCGATATTCTTAGGACTATACCCAATGCGACATGCAACAAGATTTTTGAAAAGTAACAATTTCATTCAGTTCGCTTTGATAATTATTAGTAACAATATGAGTATTTTGATTATTATTGACATCAATTGTGATATTTTCAACTATCTTAAAATGAAATGTATTTCCAACTATGAATAGTTCGTCAAATGACTGATTGCAATCCATCTCAAGGGACAAGGGAGACTGAGATGCTTGGTCTATTTCTAAGAACGTTCCAAAATTGAACAATTATTATTATTTTATTTTTTTCGTATTCATACAATATTTGAACCATAAAAAGAGAGAAGACGAGAAAAAAGGATGTAGAATTGGAGATAATAATTAGTAGATATAGCGAGCAAAGATGCCCACAAACCAACCTTTCTAGTGGTTGATTACAGCCCACCACACGCTTCACCCACTCCAAGTTTCCCCAAAATCTTCTCGCCCCCAAAAATAATATATGCTTTCTTATTCCTATCAACTCTATCTGCAATTCAAGTAAGTGTTCTCACTGTGCCTGTAAATTTATTGGATATTTTTTTAATGAGATTTTCATTTCCACATATTACTCCATTTCTTTTGTACCATTATTTATTGCCTTAAATCTTGTATTTGCAGAATTTGTTCTTCAATTATTGCTATGAGTTGATAGCTCTGCGGTGAGAATCCAAGAAATTCGTGAATTTTTTATTGTCATTTTCAAGAATTGAGAGACCCTTTTGAATTTTGTTTAAGAAGTTATGGATACTTTGCTGAAAACTCATAACAAGCTTGAATTTTTGCACCCACTTCATGGGTTTGCAAATAAAGTTAGTGCCTTCGGTTCTTTGAAGCCTCAGAATCAAGACATTAGGTTTGGTTCGAAAAGAGAACATATAAAATTGGGGAAAAGTGTTTGTGTCAACGCCAGTTCTAGTACCCTCTTGGAACTCGTGCCTGAAACTAAGAAGGAAAATCTTGAATTTGAGCTTCCCGTGTACGATCCTTCTAAGGGCCTTGTGGTGGATCTGGCTGTTGTGGGTGGTGGCCCTGCAGGACTAGCGGTCGCACAGCAAGTTTCAGAAGCTGGGCTATCGGTTTGCTCGATTGATCCTTCACCCAAATTGATTTGGCCCAATAATTATGGTGTTTGGGTTGATGAATTTGAGGCCATGGATTTGTTGGATTGTCTTGACACCACCTGGTCGGGTGCTATGGTTTTCATTGACGACAAGACAACTAAAGATCTTGATAGACCTTATGGGAGGGTAAACAGGAAGCAGCTGAAATCGAAAATGATGCAGAAATGCATTTCAAATGGTGTTAAATTTCATCAAGCCAAGGTTGTGAAAGTAATTCACGAGGAATCGAAATCTTTGTTGATTTGCAATGATGGTGTTACTATTCAGGCTGCTGTGGTTCTTGATGCAACTGGATTTTCCAGATGTCTTGTACAGTATGATAAGCCATATAATCCGGGCTATCAAGTAGCTTACGGGATTTTGGCAGAAGTGGAAGAACACCCTTTAAGTATGATAAGCCATATAATCCGGGCTATCAAGTAGCTTACGGGATTGTGGCAGAAGTGGAAGAACACCCTTTTGATGTAAATAAAATGGTGTTCATGGATTGGCGAGACTCGCACCTCAACAATAATAAAGAGCTGAAGGAGAGAAATAGTAAGATTCCAACTTTTCTCTATGCAATGCCATTTTCATCGAAAAGAATATTCCTTGAAGAAACATCTCTTGTAGCTCGTCCTGGAGTACCTATGGATGATATTAAGGAAAGAATGGTAGCTCGGTTGAGTCACTTAGGTATAAAAGTTAAAAGCATCGAAGAGGATGAGCATTGTGTAATTCCAATGGGGGGCCCTCTTCCAGTGTTACCTCAAAGAGTGGTTGGGATTGGCGGTACAGCTGGGATGGTGCACCCATCGACTGGATATATGGTGGCGAGGACTCTGGCTGCAGCTCCAATTGTCGCCAATGGAATAGTTAAATACCTAGGCACTGAGAGAATCCTTTTGGGTTCGGAATTGTCTTCAGAAGTTTGGAAAGATTTGTGGCCAATAGAAAGGAGACGCCAAAGAGAGTTCTTTTGTTTTGGTATGGATATTCTTCTCAAGCTTGATTTACAAGCCACCCGAAGGTTTTTTAATGCTTTTTTCGACTTGGAACCTCGTTATTGGCATGGATTCTTGTCATCTCGGCTATTTCTTCCGGATCTCATACTTTTTGGACTCTCTCTTTTTGCTCATGCCAACAATACTTCTAGGATAGAGATCATGGCGAAAGGCACTGTTCCTTTGGTAAAGATGATCAACAATTTAGTACAGGATAAAGACTGAGAACCCACAATTTCCATTCCCTGTATGTCAACCCAAGGTGCGGTATCTGATTATTGTTTTGACCTTATGCAATATGAGTTAGCCGTTTTTATGGTATCCTTTTTTGAAATTCCGCTTTCTGGGTTAGGGGTTGAGTTGACTGAACTTATCATTGTACATAACTGCAGAATATATGATCATGTCTTTCCATACAGAAGTGTAATTTTGTACCAGTTAAGTGCATTGGTATCATTTCGATAAGCTGTTAATTTCATTTTCTCTTCCAGCTATGTCTACTGGATTTTCTCTACTTCAAATGTTCGTCATGTCTATTATTTCTATACAATCCTAGAACTGGTTTATGGGTGGAGGGAGGGTGATCCTGATCCAGTGGGGGCATTGTGGAAATTTTTCCTTTTCTCCATTTTCATAGAACAGATTCTCGTTATTATAGCAATAATCTGGTGTACATTTGAAACTACCTGACAACCTGGCAAGACAATAAGCAATCACACAAAAATTGGCTGTAGTCCTAGAATATTTCCTTTTCAATGTAGTAATACCTGAAAATTGGCATGTATATTGCATATATTGTCTTTTTCAACACTCTTCTTTAGTATTATATTACACAGATATACTAATTCTACAATATGGAAATACATTCTAGTTACACTTAACCAAGAATTCTTTCCCCAGAAAATGGTAAGAGGATTAATCATCAATATCCTTTATCAATCTCGTAATGAAAGACATTAAGCCCTTGTTTGATGGGAATTAAAATCATATTTTTAGTAGATTTTTATAAAAGTTGATGAAATATGTGGTTGAAAATTTGGGGGTCCCATGAAATATGTGGTTAAAATTAATTGTTGACTTTGACTTAGATTAAAATTTAAATTTACACGAGGGAAGGGATGATTATTATGAATATTTTATTAAATATCCTCGAGTAAATGTTTTACATTGCACCAGCATAAAAGAAGTTGATCAAGTACGGAACAAAACCCAAACAAACAGTAAAAAACAAACATTTGCAAATGAAGAGCTTCTCCTTCTAGGAGATGCTCGTCTCCTTATGATCGTGGAAAAACGGCAAAATATGTCTGTACCATAGTAAGGAGAAGGGCAAAAATTGCACCTAGAAAAGCCAAGACAGTCCAAGGACTGCTGAAGTGGTTGTGCTTCCATTCTGCTATCCAAACTCGGCATTTATTCCTCCAATGCCTTTCAATCTGAAGCTTAACGTCTGCATATGCACTAGGATCAGGTACCAAATCATCAGCTATCTCGTTAAAGAGTGTCGCCAAGTTTTCGTCACTGCCTAGATGGTTGAGAAGAATTCTCTTCTTTCGGAGCTCTTTAACATCATTGGCGTGATCAATGAGTGAATCCATTAGCCAAATGTATGACGTAATGTGCGAATCAGAAGGGCCATTAGGACTCATTTCATAAGCCACCAAGTTCAATAGCAAAGGTTTTGTTGAATCATCAACCACCAAAGGAGGAAGCATCATAGTTCCATAAAAATGGTGATCTTGGAACTCTACGTCAGTAACATGATGAGTTTTACTTGCTTTGAAATAAATTCCTGCTGCTTCGAGCTCTGTTACCGAACGATAGGAACGCCATAATTCTGGTTTTCCATTTGTTTGATGAGGGCAGAATATATTAACAAAATCCTTGACTGCATTACATGTGTCTTTAGGAGTAGGCGGCCGAGTGTCTTTAGGATTAGGAGTAGGTGGCAGCCCAGTGAGTTGTCTCCACATTAGGTCTAGAAGGTGAGGGCTTTCATCTAATTGTAATTCTGATTTTCCATTTTTTTCACGACGGCGGAATTTATTAACAAATTTCTTGACCTCATTAGTGCATGAAGTTTCTTCAGGTGGCTTTATGCTTGCGGCAAGGTCAAGGAATTCCTGAATCAAATTTGTCTGCAATTCCTTACGTTCGAACCTGAAATTCAACAAAACTCTCAGTACTAGTAAAGGAACTTGATTCTCTAGCAAGAACAAGTCCCTCCACACAAATGTACGGATGTAACTCTTCATTGTGAGTAGTTGACCTTCTTTGTTTGTTAAGATGCACATAAACTGAAGCACAAAGCAGGCATCAAGAAACATCATTTTGGTGAACGATTCATCGTCATACTTTTCAGTTGAGCTTTTCTCATAGAATTCACGGGCACTGGCAGCCACCTTCGCCACCTCTTCATATAACTGATTGATCGATACTTTATCACCACATGCACAGAGGAATTTGTTTGCGAATGTATATTTTATCGTCTCCACTGCTTCGAGATCTGGCTTTCCATGATGATAAGGGCCTATTGAAACTATGAGAGGATCATAACAATTTTTATTGGATTCAACATTACGCAGCATTGATGGAACCTTTTCTATTCGCAGTTTCTTTGTTGTGTCTTCAACATAGTACTTTATATCGATTAACCACTTATCGTCTCTAATTTTGTCGCAAGCATGAAATTGCGTCTGCACATATTATTAGTTTGGAAATTTAGGTAAAGGGTAGTGTGTGTTGATACTATAATTTGAATAAATGCAATTGTACACGAAAATGGTAAGACTTGATGACAACATCAACCAACCGACATCACACAACTGTCAGTGGCTTATAGGCCGTTAACACGTTGTTTAATTTGATGATAGAACGGTGAAAGTCGAACAAAATAAAATTGACACTCTTTCATTATTGAAGAATTAGTAAAACATTGGATTCCTATCGACTAAATTCATTAACCTGCAAATGTATAAAATCTATCACATTGAAGAATTTATGCGAATAAATTCGAGTTTTGATGGAGAATTGTTGCATATATGAGATTACATTGAAATTAGATTTAGAACTTGACAAGAGTTTTTTATGTAATAAAAGATTATTTAATAAGCAAATAATGATTAATATTAATTAGCTAGTAGTAAAATGAGCCTATATGAACAATCAGACATTATCATAAGCAATATAAGGTAAAAACACCAAGTAACAATCTTTTAAGAAAAATGTTACCATTCGCTCCCAAGGTAAGCCTTGCGTTTTTATGTTGTGCAGCTTGGGAAATATATTTTTTGTTGTTGTATGACATATGAAACAGTCTTGTATTTATACCGTCATAAGAAGGGAATCTCTTAGACAAACTTTATTTTGTAATTCACTTTAGAAAACGTCCTACTTAGTTTTGAGCAAATTATAAGCATAGAATAATCTTACACAGTAAAAGATTATGCTTTTCTGAAAGAATTTTATCTTTCCAGCCATATTGAGTTATAATCTTGTCTCTTCTTCTTCTTCTTCTTCTTTTGCTTCTCTTCTCCTTTTTTAGATTACGGAATTGTACTCTCTTACATACACTGCAAAGTTGAGCAAGATTACAAATTCGAGCAATTTTTAATTTGACGAGAAGCGAACAAACCATAAACTATCAAGATATGAATGAGTTTGATGTAGAACACATGGTTGAAAGGATTGAAGAAGATTTGGACTGAAAAGGAAAAAAGACAATAGTGTAAATGTGGCAGTTGAGCTCCGGTTTGTACCCATAATACCAGTTCGAAAAGAGAACGACGAAATGAATAGAATTCACGATTATGTCATGAATACGATGGATTTTGGCCAATCGAGTTCGTTTATGACTTGAAAACTGCTTTTAAAGTTTTAGTTCTGTTTTTGTCATTTAGTTCATTTCGAATTTTTTGTAATTTTAGTTTGTTTAAACTAGGTTTTCATATAAACATTTATAAATAAATGGTTAATTCTTCGTTTTTTATTATCTTACATTACTATAATTTTGTGAGTTTATGTTTTCTTTAATTTGGTGGATTCCAAAATCGTGTTCTTAAGTTTTCGCTTGAATTCCTTGTTTCGTGTTGCGTCAGATCTGAAGATACATAATTCTGGTAACTTGCTAGTAGATTTCACAAGAAATTGTAAGATGGTTGTACAACAAATGTCAGCACTCAGAGTTTGAATGAGCAAATAAAAAAAAAAAGATGAGCCGTATCCTTGACGGTCTCCACCTGTCGTGCCCTGGGCCTTGGTCAAATAGGTAAATCATAGGTTATTCCTCCAAGGGTATAGGGTGGAAGGCTGCTTGTACACTTACACTTACCCAATGGCTAAATCCATATTTCAGAATGAGCAAAAATCTCTTGTTAAAATTCATTTTAACTTCACTAATCGAAATTTCGATCATAAAAGCTTGTATTCAATATAATTGATTACAATCATATTATAAACCTTTACATGTAACACATGCGAATCCTAGTTTCGTGTATAACACAAATAGAACTATTTTAAACAACTTTAACAATAACAAGTTTAGAATTGTACTATGATTTGTGCCCACTGGGTGCCTTTTTTGCAGCATCACAAGTTTGGAAATATTAACACTCTAAACATGAGGAATCAAACACAATAGACACACCAAGCAAGGTGTGAAACTGAAAGCTATTATAATATCTTGATAGATTAGTTTAGTTTTTTTTTTTCTTCATTATAGTCGCTCTTTATCATTTTGTCAAGATAATAGAAAATCTAGATCTACAAGAATGAAATTTTCATTTATCAACTAGTGGAGGTTATTTTCAACGACTCACATAATTAGTAAGGACCTTCCTACATGTACATCAAACTTTAAATAATGGGTTACATAGTGTCATATGTCACTTTATCATTTGTCAATTTGAAACACTGTCAACTTTTTCATCAATTTTTTTTTCCTCTACATCATTTTACGTAATCCATTATGTACCATTTTTATGTACAAGTAGCAACTAACTACAAATCGTTTATGAACAGTCATTTAATTAAAATCACTTGGAGCTCTAATTTTCCTATATTCTTCCATTTTAATATGAACCCCAATAATTGACAATACTTATTCTTCCATTTTTTTTGTATGAAGAATGCAAATATAAAATGTGACCATTTGACAAAACAATTGTAATTTATATCCTATTTGCATCGTGGGTCCCCCATCTTTCAATTATTTATAACTTAGTCCCCACATTTCGTTATTTGTTCCTTCTTGGTCGTTATCATTCGATTCCGCTCCCTTTTTTCATACATCATCCAAAATCAAAATTTTCTTAAAATTATCAATATACAACCAAAATTAAGTATCAAAACAATGAAAGTACTCCCAAAGGTCTGTTTTCAATTGTCAATATATGTTAGACTTATCATATGTCACTAGAGACGATATTCAACAAAATGGCGAATAATCATTCCTTTAAAATTTACTTGTAAAAGTGAAATTTTCTTCATTGAGAATTTTATTAACAGCCTCTTTTCGATGAAAAAACCTAAAAAGTAGTTTTTTACGAAATGTTTATTTACATGTATTCTTCTAAATAGAACCGTGAATAATACATATTTTTGTTTTGTGGTTGCAAGCGTTCAAAGTAACTTCTATACTGTCAAATTAATTAAGGCCCCGTTCGGTATGGATTAAAATCCAATTAAAATTGAAAATATGACCGTTCTTGGGTCCCACTCGTCTAATAAAAGTCAACAATAACGGCTATTTTTTCAATTTTAATCTGATTTTAATCCCTACCGAACGGGCCCTAAGTAGTTTTTCGTTCACTTTATAGAAAATATTAGCCTATCCAGATATGTTTAAAAACTTCGGCCGGAGCAATCGAAAACGGGCTACCCACAAAAGGCACTAGTCGTGTGCATCACATCATGAAGGTTAATGAGAGTCACGTGTTCGTTGAGAGTTCGAACAAGGACAACCTTTTGCCATCGTCAATAGTTTCTACCACAAGTTGTAACGACGATGATAGGAATTAGAATGAGAATACCAAGAAATATTAGCACGTAGAAGAGTAGCAGCAACACAAGTTGAGAAAGGTAAAAAAGAAAAGTTAGAATAATATTACATACTAATCTAATGATCCGATATTTTGGACGGATTCATGACTAAATCGAGTTCGATAACTGTGCAAAAATTAATGTAATACGGTGGATAAACGAATATCTGATAAGGGATGGTCTATGTATACTCTCCTTACCACGTTCAAGTAAATTCAAGTTGCAAAAACCAAATTTGCTTTTGTTTTTATGGTGCATTGCCCCTTGACTTTTGTTGATGATGATAAGATGCCAACAGTCTCCTATTTTTCTTAGGCAACTCCGTTCAAATTCCAGAGAAAGTAATTGTTAAAACTTGTTTCGCAGAGAATTGTTAATTAAGTGTGTTTGATAGGTAAGATTTTTCACTCGAAAATTTTTTAAAATTTTGGATCTTTTTGTTCACGTTTGACTTTATTTTATATTAAAATTGTCTATTAAAGTGAAATTTTTTATTTACATTTAAGTAGTTTTTTTTTTTCACTTTATAGAAAATGACGGAAGAGATAAAAACAATTTTCTTGTAAATTGAGGTAGGCAAATGCCACAAGGCAAATTGAACACGCCCATCTCACTAGGATTAGTCAAAATTGAGCCATTTTTTATTTTTATTTTTTCCATTGCATCAATCACTTTTCCTTCTTTTCAATCGCACATTCTACATTAACCTATTATTCCAAAATACATTCTTCCAAAATAGTGTGGCTCAAACACACCCATA